ATATTACTTAAATTATGTAATAATAATTAATTAATTTAATGTAATTAGTTTGCTATAAATCTAAGTCAGGCATGATAAAAAATATTAATGCAGACCACACAATTAATAATATATTATATTTCTTTATATTTAAATTTAAAGCATAACAACTTATGCAGTAATGTGGTTGTGCGTTTTTGTTGCATAGATTTGATTTGGGTTCGAATCCAACACTCCATCTAATTTTCTCAATTAATTTTAAGAAGCCAAACACGAGCAAGAATGTTTAAGTCTTGTCGAATAAAAACACATTGTTCACGAGCTAATTTCAAACACGAGTAATTTTATATGAGCTGAACACGAGCCAAGTCTGAGTTTGCTCAAGCTTGGCTTGTTTACTGTTCTAATTGTATGAGTGAAGCCTAATGATCGATTGGGACTCAAAATTAATTTTATGGATAGCTCTATTCACTACTATTACAAAAGTTTTTTGGGTCATAATCAATGCATTTAGTCAGTATAAGTTAGGGAGTAACAGAGTCAAGAACACTCATGCATCACCTCCAGCTCAGCTTGATTAGAAGCCAGGTTCGATGAGCTAAAAGGTTTGGCTTAAGACAACCCTACTCGGCTCATTAGCTCGTGATTTGGGTCATGTTTTTTTTAAAATTAAAATAAAATACATTAAAAATATAATAAAATTTAATATTTGGATCCGCCATACCAAGACTAATATTAATCTCATTAATTAATTAATAATTATTTTATTTATGTAAGTTTGGTTGGAAAGACTCACGCCCCATGAAGTCCAAGTCAAGGCCACACCTTCATCATCAATTCAGTAAGTGAGTCAATGCAGTAAGTCAGTCAACTATGATGGTTATGGCCCCTGTCTCATTTACACATAATATATCAAATCAATAATTGCAAGGGAAATTTACATATGTACCACACAATTCTTATGAATTCATATATGTAACACATACAATTTGATATTTACATTTAAAGGGCGTTGGTCCTATATATTCATGCAAAAAAAATATGCATTTGATCATTCTTAAATGTTAGTAAGAATGATATTTTTAAGTTGTTCCATTAATGTCAAGCTAAGTTAAGCCTAGCTTAAGACAACCCTAATCGACTCATTAGATCATGGTTAAATGCATGTTTTGAAAAGTGTCCGCTATCCGCATATGTACGGAATGAAATTCTTAAGCATACGAAGTTGATCGGGAGGCTCGTCTAATAATCTCTGACCAATCCTTTAAAAAAAAAAAAAAACTTTATTTCTTTAAAAAAAAAAATTAATAATAAATTACATTAAAAAATAATAAAATTGAATATTTAGATCCGCCGTAGCAAGACTAATATTAATCTCATTAATTAATTGTTACTTTATTTAAGTAAGTTTCGTTGGAAAGGCTCACACGACGAAGCCCAAAGTCAAGGTGACATCTTTGTTGTCAATGCATAAGTCAGTCAAGTCAGTCAACTATGTTGTTGGCCCATAAAAATTAATCTTATGAAGCATTATCTTCTCTTGAAATTTTCTAATGAAATATCATGAAAATTATTTTATCTCATTAATGATTTTAATGCACAACAATTATTTTAAGAGCCAACACAATTTATCTCAAACCATTTATATTTCAACTTACTAAACAATTATAATCTTAATTTATTTTTTATAATTAATTTTTAACATAAAGTTGAACTTTCTTCAATATTTTCCCTTAATTTAAATTTTTTTTTTTTTTGCAAAAAACCTCAAACAACTTTCAATGTAACAATAAATCTCATACAACTTTGAAAACAATGTTTTGAATCATACTTTAATTTAGAGTGCTGTCAGTTATAGTTGTTTCATGTTTAAGTTCAAGATCCAACTCAAGTGATGTTCGGTGGGTTGACCTTAAAATGAGGTCAATAATAAATAATGTACAACTGAAGCTAGACTAAATTAAGAAAAGGAAGATAGAGTCTTTTTGGGGCAGCTTATAAGTGCGGACGGTGTTTTCAAAACGCCGTTGTACCGTTTGGTTCGCGCGTTTCGTCAGCTTATCTGAAACTGCGTTTGGGTTTTTACACAAAACGCAAGCCGCGGGTCGACCCATGCGGCCAGCCCGAGGGCCGCATTTCAGCATAAGCAGCTTATACTGAAACGCACAAGCTGCCATGTCGGCACTATTTTTGGTGTGGAGTTTGCCCGTAAGAAGCTGTCGGTCATCGGAATTGAAATCCCGTTGCCCGCTTCGGAA